AGAGCAAGGTCGCCAGATACATTGGCCTGGGATCCAGAGTCGAGGATTTACTCGACCGCATCGCATTGCATACCTTGATTGTGGGCAACTGCATTGACTTGCCATGATCTGGTTGATCCATCGCAGGGTGAACCAGCAAAGCGACGTGGAGAACACCGAGGTGACACATGACGTCTACGATTACCATCACGGTAGCCATGCTCATCATAACTTCTGCCACCACCACGATGAGGTGAAGAACCACGCTCACGAGGTGGCCCATCACGCCACTGCCTGCTGCTGCTGGGGCAGCTTGGGTCCATAGCGGCTTGGTGGGTCATCACGCCACTGTTGTCGTGGCTTCGGTCCATAATGACTGGGTGGTCCACGAGGAGGCGAGCTCAAACGTCCACCCCATCTCGGTGAAGGTGACGAACTGCGTCTCGGTGGTCCCCACGGCAAAACATCAGTGCGTCCACGAGGTGGCGATCTGCCACGTCAACCTTGCATACCAGGTGGTGACCGACTGCGTCGTCGATTGAAGTACATAGGCGCATCACGAAGTGGCGAACGTCCACGTACTTCACGTCCGTACTGACGTCCTTGCTGATACGGACTCAGTTGCGTCTGATTCCCATATCTTTCGTCATGTCCTTGGCTTCTGAGTATGTCCGAATGGACCCCTTGAATGTCATCTCCGCGCACGAGCGGACCCCTTGTGATCCACCCTTGTTGTGCTTCGGCTCAGGCAAAGGTTCAACATTCGACAAGCCCTTCAGCTCTTGACTGATATGAAGCAGTATCTTCTGCCAGGTAGGTACTGATCCTTGAGACTGCACGCCCTCCCACTGGCGCTGTACAGCGTCCGTCACAAGTGTCTGCACTGCTTGTTGAACTGCGACATCAGCTAGGCCAGGGACTGCAGGTGGCTTCTCTTCCAACTCCAATTGCGCCGAAGTAGCCAAAGTACCATTGGCGAGGTTCAGTCCTGCTTGATCATCGTCATCCGGGCTCGCAGGAGACGTGGGCGAGTACACTGGTGACGCCTCCGCATCTGGTGACGCATTGCCAGTTAGGTCCACATTCTCCGTGTCACTTGCCGCACACAACGACAAGCCAGCAGTCAGGCCTTGTGCACCACTCTCACCTTGAACAACTTGCACACGACGAACAGAGCCAACGAGAGAAGCAGGCGGCTTCCCGCTCTGCTTCTTTTCTGCCAACTTTCTCACTAGTTCTGCCTTGAGTGGCTTGCCTGTCTGCTCCGTGCATTCAGCGTACCAGTGACCGTCATTATTACAGTTGGCACACTGGGTACGCTGCTTCTTGTCGGCCACAGCCTTCATTCGCTTGCGTTGCAGTTTGCCGCGCTTGCGATTGTTGCTGTTACTCCTGTTTGCACCTTAGTCGCCAGCGACATGGGCCACTTGCATAAGGCGGGCCACAACAGTAGCCGGCTTAGACTGCAGCTCGAGCTGGTTGCGCTGGTGTTCAGCCGACCGGAGACGCTGCAACGCCTCTGTCAGCTTCAACGATTTGCGGTCATTGCTGTTAATCCAGTTTGCGTGTTCTCGAGCGAGGTCACGGAACACCAACACGACGTTCGACAACAACAGGCTGGCGTGCTGCCATTCCTCAAACTCGCCCTTGGCCTGACGCAGCATCGTCACCTTGCGCTCGATGTCGTCGACGTACACTGTTACAGACTCGTTCATCTGCAACATTCTCGTCATGAGATCTCGCATCAGGTAATCGGGATTGATTCCGTCGCCAGCCTCGAAGTGCTTGGTGATGTAGGTCCACCGGATGGACGCAGCCTCCATGTTGTCCCTCATCACATCGATCTTGAATGTGGACCTCAAGTCCAATGACAGCGACAGTGCGAGTGCAGAGAACGCCTTGTTTTTGCGTGCGCAGTATCATTCGTTGTTCTTGGGTTTCTGGTATCCGAGCGCAGCGTCAAAGCGCTCACCACCGTACGTTATGGCACCGAGTGTACGTGGCTCAAAGTGTAGCGGCACTTCGCTGCGCCACGCTTTGTAGTCGGCCTTGGTCACAAGCTTGGGCAGCAGAATGTCCGGGGACTTCCGCAGTGCCTTGGTCTACTCCGCCAGTTCCTTGTCATCGTATCTCCTGCCGGGGAATGTGTTGTCCATGCCGGCTTCCTCACGCCAGTGCTCGCTTGCTTCACAGACGTCGCGCTGTTCCTCTGTCTCGGGCAGCCGTTGGTTTGGGACTTCCGCAGAATGAAATCTTGAATACCTTCAAGCAACCTACGGATGAATGGTTGACCAACCGTAATTTGGACCAATGAGCGAATGAAACGCTCAACCTCGTTATGCGACAGTGGTGTGTCACCACCCACAGTCGCATTTCCAGCCAATCCTTGCGATCCTTGGCTTTGATTCGACGGAATTTCCGCTGGGTCTCTCGAATCTTGGTTGTTCACATCAGCTGACACGTCTCCCTGATTGGGGTCATAACATGAGGTGTCGCAGGGCGCGTCACCGGGCTGCTCTCAAGCTGCCTATCGCTTCTTAGAGTAAGTGCCATGGGGCAACTGACACTATAGTAGCAGTAGACGCAAGAGCAGATAGAAGCAGTACGTTTAACACAGTAAGTGCCGGGGCAAATCTCGACTGGACCGTGGCGTTCTGGTGTGGGGCAGTCGCTTGCTGCTGATAGCAAAAGTCGAAGTGAAACACTGCCACGAGCGCCAGCGTTCCGCAAAGTAGATAAGTTCATAGTATCTTCAAGTAAGTCGATAGTAGAGATCAATAAGATGCGCGGCAACACTTGTGCAGTGACTCACTGCCAACCATGTCTCGATGCATACAAACATCAGTATGTTTGTACTCGGTTCCGCTGCAGTCGCGAAGCCGGAGTGCAGCACAGCCGCATTGCCGTGCGTATGATTGAGAGCAGGATCGGGACTTGTACTGTAGCATGTATCGTAGGGACTTCAACTCACATACAGTAATAGGAAAACAGTTATGTAGTACTAACGTAGAATACCGAATAGTGCACGGTAAAGTATTAGAACGCCCTACGAATAGAAGGACCCTCTTTTAGGGTCCTCTATAACAATAGAGGAACGTCGAATAATGCGCGATAAAATACAGCACCGTCCGACCAAAGGTAGCAGCTTATCAGATGAAAGCCTGGGTTTGGTCAACTAGAAGCACCTGCGTTAAGTTTGACTTAGCTCTGCCATCCATCCCTTGATTGCTTTCAAGCTTGTGTCTGTGGTGCTTCGCTGGCATCATTCGCCAAGATGCCAGTAAGACGAAATAGCGTAAAATCAGCATAAAGAGCGATAAAATACAGCACCGTCCGACCAAAGGTAGCAGCTTATCAGATGAAAGCCTGGGTTTGGTCAGCTAGAAGCACCTGCGTTAAGTTTGACTTAGCTCTGCCATCCATCCCTTGATTGCTTTCAAGCTTGTGTCTGTGGTGCTTCGCTGGCATCATTCGCCAAGATGCCAGCAAGACGAAATAGCGTAAAATCAGCATTAAGAGGCAGGCTATGACTGGATTGCCACGGAGGGTGGTGGCGTGCCGTCTCGCGCGGAGGCTCATCTCCGCCTGCGCGTGTGACGCATTACAGCAGCGTGCTTCCGTAAGTGGTGGCGCCAGCGAGAGGAAATCCTGACTGCCAGCGGCAGTCACCGACGTTTTCATGGAGCTGGACGGCGTCCGGTTCTCGGCGAGGCGGAAGACGCGCTTGATGATTTTATCTACGACCGCCGGCTTAGCAACAGAAAGGTCACCAGGGGCTGGATTGCAGCCCAAGCGCGGTTGATGTTTCATGAGGGCCGTTCCGAAGAAGCTCACGAAGAGCATCCGATCCGTTTCGCAGCTTCCGACCCGTGGGTACAGCCTCGGACTTCGGTGTCATACCAATCTCACTATGCTCATGGATGATATGTTAATTGGTCGTGCGATATCGTTTATGCGCTTCCCAACAGAGCACAAGCCCTCCATTAACTTTGGAAAGACGGTACTCATGGATGAAACCGCTATCTTTTTTTTCGAAGACCCCGACTTCCGTTTTCCGTGTTAGGAAATAGAGCACAATCAAATAGAGCGCCATACTTCCACTTTTAGGGTCCTTTATAACTATAGTGGACGGTGCACTAATACCTTTTCTACGTTATATGCACTCCCCTAAAGTACGTGCTGAACTTACACACACAGATCCTTGCTACGTTTCAGCAGCATACTGTGCAAATATCGGCCTTTTGTGCAACCTGGCTTGCAACCCTATTTTGATTGGTTAATACTAGTGCTGATGACTGTGTTGAAGTGCACAAAGCGGTAACTACACACGCAGAGTAGGATGGCCGCCATTCTTACGATCCGCACGGAGGGCCACCAAGATACTTGACACTGAGAGCTGCCTACCATAGACTGAATATACCTTGTCTATCGCTGCGCCACTGGTAAAACGTGAGCGCACCAAGCTAGCGACTACGTCCAGAACACTTTTCGCCTAGAGAAGGCGAATTTGCTCGCACCACGCTCAATTACCGTAAAGTCTTTTGCTGCTTTCAGGTCACCGCATCCGACCTGGTATTCGTGCCAAAGTTCGAATAAATATTTCGGCCGCTTTGAAAGTACAGCCGTAGACGCTCGGCGAGTCGGAGGCGGATTAGGTGGAGATGTAGTTATATCCTGCGTAATAACGTCGCGCCGAAAAGATGGCTGCATGGCAATTCGCTTTAGTATGGCCTGAATCTTCTGTAGCTCTCGTTGGTTCTCTCGCCGTAAACGCATGACTTCGCTCAGCACTTCGGCTGTTTGGCGTCGCCTTGCTCCAATCTGCGAGTGAGGAGCTGCTAATTCACGGCGATTACCATCTTCGAGTACAGCGCTACCACGGTGCATGTTCTGCGAGGGAATTACAGCGAAATTATTATCTTGGTCAGGATTTCCACCGCTATCAATTACAACAAGGTCCAGTTGTGATCCATCGCCAGTGACGTAAATTGCCTCACGAATTACCGGGTTTACAGCTGGATTTCCACCCACATTTGCGAAAGCACGCAAAATGTTTTGCTGAAGATTACTTGAAATTAAAGCGTATTCATGCGCTTCTGGTTGCTCCAAAGCCGCCCATAACAATGGCAATGCCTGCGTAGCCGCAATAGACTCGCCCATTACTTGCTTCACTGTCGGTTCGATCTGATCAACAAGGAACTCGGGTGTTACACCGCCGATACCTTGTCGAAGTGTATAAAAACATGGGCCTGCGGGTCCAGTGAGTACTGCAGCGGTCTTGGCATCTGGGTACGGCTGTGTGTTGTCTGTGTAGATATCAACAACGCCTCTTTTAGTGCGCCAGCGCCCTCGCCGGCTTACAAAGTCCTTTGAAATGCCGCTCCGGGTCGCGTTCGTAGCGGCGCCTTTGCGAAGACTATGCGTCCCAATATTTCCCGCCTTCAGCTTCTTAAATCCGTCCTTTTGCACCTTATTTGCCAAGAAGCGACGCACAACACGATCACCATCCTTCGGGTTGGTATACAGAAACTCCGATCTCGAAACATTTGCCGTTGACTCAATGTACACAGCAAGGCTGAGCAATGCACACATTTTTGGGTCCATACTGCCCATGACAATCTGCTCCGGCGCATCACGTTCCTCGTTAATATTTTTGACCATCGCATCTGCAGTAGTAAAGTTGAGCTGTACTGCGTGTTTGGTGAAAAGTAGTTTCATCATATCGTCAATTCTAGCGCAGATATGCCACTGGAGTGTCTGCACACTGCTCACCATGTACGCCGATACATCTGATTTCCATTGAGCCCGAATGAGTTGTAGCAAGTTAAGGAACTCATTATATTCTACAGCTCGGCGAGCTTGAGAATTTGCCCCCTCTCGGCGAACTTCAAATTTTTTTTACCTTCTTTATCAACTTATTTACAGCGTCAGAGCGAGTGGGGTTCCCACGCTCGGTCACAGGGTCCCAGGACGTATTGACCCGCGGCATAAATGAAGAAAGTGCTTTCTTGGTGAATTCAGGAGTACTTGAGCGCCGGTAGACTGGCTTCATGTCTTCAGCTGGTTCGGGGTCACCGTACGCTTGTTGGTGCATCCAGTGGCACAAATGGCCAGGTGTTACTTGAAGAAGCTCTGCTGTCGTGAAGACGCGATCGTTGCTGTACGTGACGCCGTCTTTAAACGACATGAACCTCGTGAGCTCTCGCTTGTACTGGCTTGTCATAGTGCTGGGGCTTGTGGCGTTCTTTTCTTTCTTTGCAAACTTCTGGCTTTATCTCACTTGGATTTGATATCTGGTTCTACACTAAGTACGTTTGCAACCTGACTTGCTTTTGGTATCAGATTGGGCTGCAAAACTGACCTGAACGTGAACAACTCAAGTTGCAATCACCACCCCACCGTTTCGCGCTGTGCAAGGCACAATTGTGGTCTATACGCTACGTGCAGCCAATCAGAGATCAGGATTTTCAAAAATACAACCTTGGTTGCAAATGGCCGATAATGTACATGTAAATACTGTAATCGTCGTTGTTCGCTTGCATAGTCACTGAAACGAGAAGTTATTTCACTTGTGTGACCTTTCTTCTTCACTTCTCTGATCGCGTGACAAATGGCCGATGCTCCCTACTCGCAAGACGCGCTGGCCGCGTGCGTCCGAAGCTGCACCTACCCCACCTTTTCTCTAGCTCATTATATCCACCTTCTCTCTATTGCACAGATTTATGAGTATCACCGGCGCCGACTCCGGCAGCGCGCTGCAATTTCTCGAGGTCGGTGGCTCTTACCATCCAAATCTACCCCTCTTCACTGTTTTAACGCTTGAACCTTGTGTTGAAACATTGAAATAACAGCTTAGCAACTGGAAACTGGACGAGGCGGTGCGTCTACTTCCTTGCTACCCGTTTGTGCTCTCAAGACACTCATCCTTTTCTTACTCAGGTCAACCTGTACATGGAGAGCGGAGGCCAGAGCGCCAGTACGGCGTTTGCAGCACCGCACCAACGCACAGCAAGTTCCAGCGCTAGTTTCAGTCCTCCGCCAGCTCCGTCGACAGATATGGACGCGGCCACCGCTGCTGCAATCGCGGCAGCCTATGGAGAAGAGTGCGTTCCGCCATCTTGTAATCTTACTGCTGCTACTTCTAGCTGCAGTAAAAGGACCGAGGTACTGATCTTGCTTGTGTCGATGCTGCAGTGACAACGCGGTGCGAGCGCCTGACCCGTCCAAACGCCAGCGCCTTGTGGACTCGGGAGCGGACCTCTGTGTGTTTCTAGTGTTTGATTAGTGTAGCACATGTTGGTTTTGACTTATGCCTCATGCCTGATACCTATAGTGAGGCCCATGCGCCATCTGCGCGACCAAAATCGCGACTTTGCGGCCGAAAGTATTGCGGCGATGACGGCTGGGAGCATTTCCACGGCTTTCGGAGGCGCTGGAGCCGTGGCATTCGGCGAGGCGTCGAACAATTTGGACGGTGGTGACGGTGCCGGAAATGAACGTACACGCGATCTGAGCACGTTGTTCCAGCCACCCACAGCCATCATGTTCCAGGGAACTTACGCGGATGTGCGTGCTTTTGTCCTGCTGGATGCTTGTTGTTTGCCGTGCCTGTGTTGACGTAGTGCGTTCTGGTGTCTCTAGGCCCGTACGCACGCCAAGAACGAGGGCAAGTGGCTCTTGGTTAACATCCAGGACGAAATCGTGTTCGCAAGTCACATGCTAAACCGCGACACGTGGAGTGACGACGTTGTGCAAAATCTCGTGGCAAGTGGGTTCGTGTTCTGGCAAGTACGTACTGTAGCTTCGTCTTTTTCAACTTTATTGATTGCTGCCTCACTGAGCTCATTATGGCACGCTGCGCAGAACTATTGGGCGTCGGAACACGGCAAAAAGTTTTGCACCTTGTACCAGATTGACCGCGACTCGCTTCCAATTGTGGTGATTATCGATCCGCGGACAGGAGAAACCCGACAGCGCTGGACAGGCTTCCATGAGCCGCAAGATATGACGGAAAAGTGTGCGGCGATGACTGACTGGCGGAGGTTTTACTAGCACTTAACCTATTCTAATGGCGTCTTGTGTGTGTGTTTCTTGGGGTAGTGTCGGACTTTTGCTGTATGCACACACTTGATACACCATCGACTGAGCAGAAGAAGGTATGATTTTCATCGTGGGTCATTACTTGGCCTAGTGTGCATGACTTTGCTTTTTTGTTGTTGTAGGAGGCTGAACCCAGCATCATGGACGCGTCTGAAGATGACCAACTGGCTGCAGCTATTGCCGCATCGTTGCAGAATGGCGAAGGCGAGACAAAGCGAAACGAAGATGACATGGAGCAAGAGGAGGAGGGGCAAGAGGAGAAGACGCAGGAACCAGTTGTCGAGCTGACCCCAGAGCCTGATGGTACTGTGAACCGGCTTCTCATTCGGAGTCGTGTTTTTAGTATTCATCACATGACATTTTTTTGCTGTTGCTCTCTTTGTAGCTAGTGCCCCGGGTGTTACCCGAGTCCAAATTCGGGTGCCCGATGGCTCTCGCCTGACGCGGCGCTTCCTCAAGAATGACCCACTTGCTATGGTGTGGGCGTTTGTAAAAGATCAGATCCCTGAAGCCCGAGCACGCGCGTTTGAGCTGCGAACTGCATTCCCGCCTAGCGCTGTGGCATACAACGACACGATTTCCATTGAAGAGGGCAAGCTTGAGAATGCATCACTCATGGTCAAGTGGCTGTGAGCAAACTTGCCGCATTGAATTGAACCTTTTCGTGCGCTTAAACAGTCTTCCTCCCCCCTATCGTTTAGTGGATAGTGACTACACTGTACTGTACACAAACTTCATGTCCGCTTCATGTCATGAAGCGGACTTGGCGCTTCCTAAAGAAAGGCCACGATCTCAAGGATCCAGAGGGCCACAAGGAACAGTCCCAGCGACAAGGTGTGTTAAAGGGATGATTTGGGCAGAGATGGAGTGAGGACAAAGTAGAGTGGTCTAGGCGGCGATAATGGAGAGGAAGTCTTGAGCGTAGAAGGAGAAGACGCTTGAGTGGTGAAGATGGTAAAAGGAAAAGTGTTGAATTAGAGAGAGTCTGGAGGAGTTATTTTCCACCAACCAGTCCAGTTATATATGATTTCTCTATATGAAATAGCACAATTGTATTCCACGAGATTCATCATCACATCGGGGATGCTTACTTCAACAGCCTCCCACATACTGTAGAGGAATCTCGGATAATTTAATGCACCACAGGTGGCTGTTTATAGTCATGAACATTCACAAGAAATAGATCTTGTTTTGATATTACTGATATTTTTTCTTTGTCAGATTTGTCAATTTGTTGCCTTTTTTTCTGGCAGGGACTGTGCTGATTTCTTACTTCAGGAAAACCTTTTTTTTAAGGATCAAAACCGGTTCGCTGTATTGTTGGCTACTTCAGGAAACCTTTGAGGATACACCTGTTCACCGTATTGATCTTTTTCTATTTGGTGTAAGCGTGGTGTAGCTTTGCTAATTTCTTAAACTGCCATTGTTTCGCTCTTTCATATGTAGATATTTCTTCACAATGTGTGGTTTCGTTTTTGTTTTTCGTTGCTGAGGTCTTATAGAATTGCCTCCCAATTACCTAAAAAGGTTGATATGGGTGTTGCAGTCATTTTCAAATTGTTCTGACTATTGTTATTGTTATTGAGAAGTAATAGTTTTTCACATATTTTTGAAGAAAGGCTACAGCTTTTTAAAAGCATAAATAACATCAAATAGTGTGCGTACGCATCAAGTGCGCATGCTTTCGTCGTTGGGGATATGTTTCTCCCCCGAGGCTCATCGAGTTCTTTCTCGTTTGGAAGCTTATAATTTTATTTTTACTTCGCAAGCGCTAGCGATAGATTTGCAAGCTATCGAATTCATTGTAGATGGAATTGATGCAGTAAAGCTACAGTTTGCTTTCTGTAGACAGATTCTTTTGTAGGCTTGTCTTGTAGTCATAAAGTGTTGATTTTTTTTCTTCATTCTTTTGGTACTGTAATGCTGGAAATGCTATAAACTTTTGCCAGTGGCAATTAATGTTAAAGTTTGGCGAATGCATGAACAGTTTTTGGCATTGATGCCTCCTTGTTTCATACTGCGAAGTACATTTCTTTAAGTATTTTTCTCTCAATGTTTGGGGTAATTTTTTGTCCTACAAGCTAGGCAGACTTTGTGAAATTTGCAATTTTAAATTTGCATCATGCAAATTGCAGGTTTGTTTTTGTCCATTTTATTTCTTTGGTGAATGTAGCATAAATATATTTTGAGCAGCTTAGGTAACAATGCTTGTATGGGACAGCATAGTAATCGTGTCCACACTTTGTACGACCACCAGTGCACACTTAGTGACCACTACCCAGTCCACAATCCCGTAAACCCCTAGAGCCCTATAAATACACAATATGAAATACTCACAGCTCTCAAGGTAAATCTTGTCGACCGAATAGAGGCGTGGGGCGTCAGTCTCTATCTAGGCCTATGCTCTTTCCGCAGTAACTGCAATCGCTCACGGGTGGGCTGCTGATACCGCGAGTGTGTGATCTCTCTGAGACCTGTGCTCTTTCCGTGATGCAGCTACCACGAGCGGGCTGCTGATACCGCGAGTGTGTGGTCTTACGGGGCTTCAGATACCCGTGTTCAATCACACCCGACACCTCCACTTACTAAGCACACACCATAATCACTACACTCGGTTTTCAATGTCTTTATTCGCGTACGTCGCCGGCACGGCGGAACCACTCGACCGCTAGGTGCTCGCGCACGTCACAGCTAATATCAATGCTAACTACACCACTAGGCACTTGCGCACTTCGTGGCTAATCTTAGACTGATTCCTCTTTCGCACCTCGATCTTCTCTCTCACGACGACCTCCTTGCGACCCTCCTGGGTGCCTTCCATCCACATGCTCGGCATCTGCGTTGTCCTACTGTCTTCCTTGATATTCACTTGAAAGGGCGCGGGCCAGATCCGCACATCCGTGGGTCAGCCTCGGCAACCCGTCAGTCCTCCGCATGTCCTTATTCTTCGTCGACTTTCTCTTCCCGATATCCAGCATGTGGCCCTCCTTCTCGTAGCTCCACGCAACCACACGGAGATTCCAAGAGGATTTCTATCCTCTTACTGCATCAAAGCAATATTCGATCGCCTTTGACGTATGGTCTTTCACTTCCAGCGCGTATCGAGTTGTGTATTCCACAGGCGCAATGACAAATCGATTGCCTTCCGCTGTCTCCGACAACGGACCTGCAACGTTAATGGCCCAGCGATCTCCTACTGCTCCAGTTCTCACGCTTCGCAATGGTGGTACCACAGCTTTAGGTCTCGCCTTTTTCGACCCGCCGTCTTGACACGCAAAAACCCAGCTCCGAACAGCTTCGCGCACCTGTGGCCACCAATACACCCGCTGTAACCTCTCCATCGTCTGCGGCACTCTCAGGTGCCCAGCCCAAATGCTGTCGTGGGCTTCCTTGAACGCTAGTGCACAGTAGATCGTGGGTAGGATGATCCGACTGTCTCCAGGCTCCATCTCCACCCGGACCAGCCCATCGTCATCAACCAACACACGCTGTCCGCGGTAAGCCCCTTTCTCCTTCAGGGTGTTCACCATCACTGACTTGTTCTGCTCCCTTTTGATATCCTCGTCCGTGAATTGAACGGTTCCCAGCTCAGTCGCTTCTACTCGCTGCACTATTGCAGTCTGAATGAGGTGCTGCTAAAGTCCGCCCCAGCTCCGTTTTACTGTTTTCAGCCTCACTCTCCCGTCCGATCATAGGGTCGTCCGAAGCAGCCTTCCTCGGGTTTTCAAGCTCGTCACTCAAGTTAACAGGGTCTCTAGATAACGCGTCCGCTACATGATTATCGCGGCCCGGTCGATATTGAATATCGAAGTCATATATATCTGCAACGTAAGTGCCCATCCGTGTAATCTTCCAGCAGGTTCCTTGCTTGTCATTAACCACTTCAATGCTACGTGATCTGTCACTATGGTGAAATGTCCCCCGTATAAGTGAGGTCGAAACCGTCTCACTGCCCAGACCACTGCTAGACATTCAAGCTCTGAAATGCTGTAGTTCACCACAGTAGGATTAATCACCTAGGATGCATACGCCACTGACTGATCTCCATGTCCTTGATCGTGGGACAACACTGCTCCTAACCCCGTCTTCGAGACATCCGTAATTAGTTTGAAAGGTAGCCGATAGTCGGGATACACAAACACCGGCTTTTGACTTAGCCATGCCTTTGCCCAGGCGAATGCTTCTTCGTGTTCTGCTCCCCATCGCCACTCAACATGTTTTCGTAGTAGACTGGTTAATGGTGCCATATTGGCTCCAACGTCCGGTACGAATCGTCGGTAGTAACCCGCTAAGGCTACAAAAAACCTTCTCACTTGTGCGTCGCCCGTTGATTTATTAAAGTCCACAATGGCTTTGATGAGCCGGGCTGTAGGCGGTATCCCCTTCGGTGTGAGATCATGCCCCAAGTACTCCATTTGAGTCGCCGCAAATGAACACTTCGACATCTTCAAGCTCAATCCCGCTTCCGCTAATCTCTCTAAGACCACTGCTTATTCCACCACGTGCTGTGCCACTGAACCTCTGGTGAAGAGGATCACGTCGTCTAGATATACCAAGCAGCAAATCCACTTAAGTCCTTAAAGTACACAGTCCATCAGACGTTGGCAGGTGCTGGGCGCGTTACAAAGTCCAAAAGACATTCGTGTGAATTGAAAGAGTTCTCTTCTGGTTGTAAACGCCGTCTTCGGTTTATCCTTCTCAGCCACTCCAATTGCCAATATCCTGCATGCAAGTCCAAGCTAGAGAACCTCTGAGCTCCATGTAAGGCCTCCCGAGGTTCGTCAGCGGGTAGACGTCCTTGATGGTCACCGCGTTCAATGCCCTGTAGTCGATGCAAAACCTGACGCTTCCGTCATTCTTCTTGACGATAACCACTGGGAATCCTCATGCACCCTCACCGTACTCGATCACCCCTTGCTCCAGCATCTCATTAACCTCTTTGTCGATTAGCTCATTTTCTGCCACCGCATGCCGGCTCCTTCGCATCATGATCGAAGCAGCATCACCCGTATTGATGTGGTGTTCCACTCCTATCTTCGCTAATGATGGACATCCCTGTTTCGTCTCCACGATCCCCGAGTACTGTAGCAACAACGCAATTAACTAAGCCTCTGTCCTTTAGCTCCATCTCACCGATGTCCAGTTTGGCTTCAACCTTGAGGGGCTTAGCATCGTCCTTTCGGACTGTCCTCACCCACTCAGCTACTCGTTCACGCTCCAATTCACCTTTTAATTTCAGTAACTGCATATCTTCCGTGACCGGTATCCATGTGCCAAGAACTTCTCTCGCCGGTAGCTTCTCCCAGCGGCCTTCTACGTTCATCAAGAAGATCCGTACCATCCCGTTCTTCACAGTGTCGACCGTAGGTGCTAGCAGTAAATGCCTTCTATGGGTTGGCTTTGGCATGAAGATCCCTTCCGTGCCGTCTTCAGCGTCCACGCGCATATGTACCACGTTACTGGTGCTGTTCGCCAACTTTCCGCAAGACGTACCACTACCTTCCTTGGTTGCAGGGCCGATACCCCATGACAAGTGAACGGCCAAATCACCTTCTCTCCTGTGTCACTCGCGTATTCCAGCTCCCGCTGCTGAAGCCCATCTTAATCTGGTGCTGCACCATCCAATCTTCGCCCACCAGGAGCTCATCCCCTTGCCCTTCTACCAAAAGTGCGTC